TGACCCTCCCCAGCAGCTCATTCCCAGGACTCTAAGCCTCTGTGGGCTGGGAGCCAGGGCTGTGTCCATGCCTGCTCAGAGCCCAGCGACCCAAGCCCAAGCCAGGCAGCTGGGCTACAAGAGTGGCGAGAGCAGTGAGGGCTTGGGCAGGGCCAGGGGCTCTGGGCAGAAGAGGAGCAGGACATGGGGGTCTGCCAAAGCCACAGAGTGGGTGGACAGGCCACTCTAATGTTCTTCTAGAGAAGACAGAGGGGCTGGTCTGACTTCCCCAGCCCACAGCTGCCCCCCAGGGAACAGAGAAGGGGTGCCACAGGAGTCCCTGCCAAAGAAAGGTGGCAGCCCAGGCCCAAGCCAGTTTAGGGAGGTGAGGAGAGGCGACAACTATGCAACCAATTGCCAGGCAGCCCCAGCTACCCTTGCCCCATGGGGACTCGCCCCAGAGGAGGGGCAGGGGGATGGCTCAGCCTTGGACCCACGTGTCTGCTAGGCACACACACTGGTCACTGACCTGACTGCGGGACTGACAAAGCCCTCCGTGCATCCACCCACGCGGTGGCCCATCCCACCCACTCATGCATGCTTCAGGATGCCCTATTAAGGGCATGGCCGCGGGGGCTCAGCCCAGCGTGCCCGCCCCTTCCCTGGGCGCTGGGGGTAGGGGACGAGCAAAGCTGGCAGGCCAAAAGGATGGCCGGGGTCTGGTTGGGCCGCCATCTGGACTGCCACCGCGGGCAAGGTGGTCAGCGGCGGAGTTGTCAAGTTGGCCAACCTGGAGCAGCCGGGCCAGAGGGCAGCGCGGCCGGGACCGGGTGAGGGGCGCCGTACCTTTATATTTCTCCCGCACCTCCTCGTAGGCCTGGATGAAGTCCTGCTCGTCGGGCGGCTGGCCGGGCGTCAGTAGGGCGGCCATGCCGGCGGGCGCGGGACTCGGCGGCGCAGAGTGAGCCTTAACCCTCGGCGGCCGTTCTGTCCCTGCGGTCGCGCGCGCCGCTTAAAGAGGCCGCTCTCGCCCCGCCCCCGCACCCAGGATGCCCCACGGGCGGGGCGGGGCGGGGCAGGGGGCCGAGCCCAGGGGAGCTGAGGCCGGGCAGTCGGGCAGCTGAGCGCCTCCCCGCGTTTGCTTGGCCAGGGCCTGCCCCGTGGGCTCCGAGACTTGGTCTCACACGTGTTCGGGCGGGCGCACACCCCTTCCAGCTCCGCTCCCGACCTAGTCACGGCTCGCCGATGGGCCGAATCCCTCGCCTGGCCCCGAGGTGGCCCCCTGCCCCGTTGGCCCTGACCAGCCCAGCTCCCAGCAGAGGCCACGACCTCACCTGGCCGCCCCAGGCGCGCCCCTGCCCTCCCCCTCCTTGCTCCTTCACCTGGGCTGGAATTCTCCCACTGCAACATTGCAGATAGGCAGAGTTGGAATCTGGTATATAAATAGCCCTTAAAACACAACAAGAAAAAACTACACATAAAACTGGAATAGTCAATTTACACAAGGAAAAACAATGGTGATAAAAGAAAAAGATAGCCTGGTGTAGTGGCACACCTGTCCCAGCCACCAGAGAGGCTGAGGCAGGAGCATCACTTCAGTCCAGGAGTCCAGCCTTGGAAATATAATGAGACCGAATCTCTTAAAAAACACAGAAGAATAAAACCTCATGATGTCTGTACCTAACTTTCAACAATTCTGCAAAAATTTCTAAAATATAAAACAATAAAAATTATTTTCCACCCATCAGACTGGCAAAGCCCTTTCTCCCAGCAATGACAAATGCCCTCCTTTTGAGAACGCCCCTGGCAATACCTCTCTAACCTTAAATGCTGCATGCCCTGTGACCAAGAGTCGCACTTCTAGGAATCAGTCCTAAGAAGATCATGGCACAGAGACATGGCCCAAGACCACTGTGGCAACAGCAGGGGTTGCTGGGATGCCCAGCACTCCAGCCTACTCCCACATCTTTAAAGGTGATGCTGAAGAAGGTCAGGGCTGAGAAAGGACTTTCCTGATTCCCTCTCAAGTGGGAAAAATATGACCTCATTCATTAAACTCTGTATGTGATATGAAAAGCCCAGAAGGGCATGCACTGCCCACAATGGCCCCTAGGGCCAAGTGCAGGGTGGCAACAGAGCTTCCTGCACTCTTTTATCCTTCTCTCCACTTCCACAAGCCACATTTGTGCTCCCACCAACTGAGCTCCTCAGGCTCAGCACCTGGCCTCTCAGCTCTCTTCTGATCAGTCTCAGTCCACCCTCCTATCCTCCTGCAGCCCCCCTCCCCCCACCCAGGTGCCTCCTCATCCCCTAGGGTCCTCGTGGTGGACTAGGGCAGTACATTGAAGAAGGCTAGAGACCCTCCACTGGCTCCTCTCTTTCCCAGTAAATCCAGACAAGTGACCCCCAGCCCTAGGTCACCCACTTCCTACAGGGAGGGGCCACCCTCCAGCTTCCCACTCCTTCCCCGGGGCCTCTCACTGTGTCTTTCCCATCCTCCTCCCCACACTGGCAGCTACTGGAGGGCAAGCCCAGCCCCTGGGGGGGCTCAAGACAACCAGGCACCCCCCCTCCTGTCTTGTTCCTATACACTCCTACCTGCTCCCATTGGTGGCAGCCAAGACCAGGGGCTTGGTAGGCAGCTCTGCCCCAGAAGCTCAAGAAGTTATCATGGTCACATCTGGGCACTGGACCCTTGTCAGGAGGCCAGTGATGAGCACTTCAGCTAGGAGCCCAACCTCAGGCCACTGCAGCTTCCCAGGTGGGGCCAGCAGGTGGCACTGTGCCCTCTGCACTTACCTGGGACTGCAGGAGCCCTCCCTGACCTCAGCAAGCTACTCACCCAGTCCCAGCACCTGCATACAGCAAACAGCAGGTGCCCAAACAAGGTGTGCTGAAGAGTTGCCCCTTCGGTGTTACCTGCAATGCGAATGACTGCCCGCTCAGCAGGGTCCAGGACACTTCCGTTGCTCCCAGCGCCACCCCCGCTTCGCCGGCTCCGCTGTGTTTTCCCAAGGTTCCAGGGAAGTGTGTCCCCGGGGCTGGGTGAGCCACTGCTTCCATTAGAGGCATCTTCAGCCACTGCTCGCACCTCGGAGTCCTCACTCGACATGCCTCCTAGAGCAGGGGCAGGAAGAGTCACACCTCTACCAGTGGAGGGAGCAGATGCTGCGCACTGACCCACCACCTTCCTCATCTAGACACTGACACCATTCCATTCACTCTCTCACCTGGACACTGACACCCATGGTCCTCCTATGCTCCGCCTCATCCACAGACGGATCGTACACTCTCAACCCACACGTTGACAAACCTCCTTCCTCCAGCCCATCTCTCAGATACCCACACAGTGACAACTTTGGAGACACTGACCTCACCCCTCTAGTCTATCAGCAAGACAGTGACCACCCTTGACACCCTGACCCAAAAGCACTGACTGCTACTGTTAGTTACCCAAATCCAGACCCCTATACCCTGATACCCAGGGGCTCACCCCACCCACAGGACACTGACTCCACTCTACACCCTGTCAGGCAGGAGCAGGGTGATTATCTTCACCTAGACACTGGCCTCCCTTCCCTCTGTCCCAAACCTGGGCTCCCTCTCCTCGAATCCTGGAATCAGCAGGCAAACGAGGCCATCAACAAACACTGATCACTGCCCCTCCTCTCACTGGGGCATCAGGGAAGGACACCTGACCCCCACCCCCGACACTGACCCTCTATCTCCAAGCTGTCTCCGTCTCTAGGACTCTCCATCACCCCACCGCACCTCAGCCCCGCGCGGCCCCACCGCGGTCTCCGCAGTGGCAGCCTATAAATAGCTGGAGCCGCAGCGGCGTGGGCTGTGGGAGCTCAGCTGCGGCAAGGCCGGGAGGGAGCCCGGGCCGCCGCTCCTGCAGTCCACCCTGCGTGTCGTGTACGCCGGCACCACGGGCGCAGCCAGAGCGCACGAATACCCACGCGTGCTCACTCCCCAGCTCCCCCGTCCTCCAGAGCACTGGCGTGTGGGAGGTGAATGGGGTTCTGTCTAGGCGGGGGCGGTCTGGTGTGGGGGCACAATGTGGGCTCTGTGCCTCCGCCCTCAGGCCAAGGGCTAGGGAGGAGTCAGCGAGCACCGAGAAGGGGGCCACCCGCCCCGCCCCCCACCGGCTCCTCCGCGGGCCGTCCGCTCCAGCCCCCTGTCCGCAGCCCCCAGTCCGCCCGCGCCTCCCCAGCAGCCTCCCTGCCCACACCCAGGGACACCGCCCGTCCAGTTCCGCAGTCACGGGCGCTCTGGGAGGTGCTGCCCTCGCGACGGAGGGCAGGATCGGCCGCAGCGTAGTCCCACGTTCCGGGTCGCCTGTGGCCGGAGCCCCCACTCAGATTCTGCGGCTCCCGCACTCTGTGCGCCTCTCCATCCCAGCCCCGCTCTTACGTGCCTGGTGGCTCCACTCTCCTCAGCTCGGCGGCACAGCCAGACTGCTAGGACCCGGGAGCCGCGGAGGCGGCGCAGGCGGGGCGAGTCTTAGCCCGAGCCCCGCCCCGGCCCCGCCGAGAGCAAGTGAGCGATGCCCACGAGATCTGGGCACCCGCGAGCGCGACCCCCGCGTGCGCACACTTCGCCGGCGCAGCTTGCTCCTGGAGCGTACAGAGCAGGCGAGTAGGCAAGGAGACGTTGTTAGGGCGAGCGTGCGTGACACCAGGACGGCGTGGGGTCGCACGGGTGCGCGCTCGGCCCCGCCCCGCACTCTGGCGTCCCGACAGGCTTGGTAGGCTACCCTCGGCCGCCTTGCTGGGCAGCCGACCCCGCCCTTGTCACGACTAGGCCCCCCCTCTAAACAGGTCTTTCCCAGAGCTCCAAAGGCACTAACGCCAGGCTTCACCTAAACGTTTATTCAAACAACAGAGCCGCGCTGGGGCAAGGTGTGGCCAAGACCGGTGGTGGTGGCCGGGGCTCTGGGCTCTGCTGACCCCTGGTGGTTGGGTTGGCAAGGCAGGACGGCCCCCGTCCTCCTCGTCCGCTGCTGTCGCCTTGACCCCCACCCCCCACCCCCACCCCGCCAGCAAGACGCAGGGGCGTCCCCAGAGGAAGGAGGGCAGTGAGTGAGGAACCTGGGAAGCAGAACGCCAGAGGGTGGCCCCTTTAGTCAGGTGGCCGGGGAGTGACCCAAGAGACCAGAGGGGTCTTCTGGGGAAGCCCGGGGCTTGTGCTGGCAAGTGATGAGGTGGGTGGGCAGCGCCTGGGTGTCGTGAAAGATGACGAAGATGCTGGGCTGGCCGAGGCAGTCCACGGCGCTGTCGTAGCGCAGGAGGACGTGGCCGGAGGCCCGCAGCGGGGGCGCCCGCAGACCGCGGTGGCCCTGCCCATAGTCTCCGGTCAGCACCCGTGCTACGAACACCGCCTTGTGGCCATCGGCGTTGGGGGGCGAGTATTGGTCCTGCACCGACAAGGAGGCGCGCTTGGCGAAGTACACACCCTGCCCATATAGCGTGCCTGCGGGGTAGGACGGACGGAGGTCAGGGTCATGGGGATGGGCAGAGCCCCCGCCCCTGCCCGGCCCAGGCCTCACCGTTGCGGCCGCAGAAGCTGCGGTTGAAGCCATGTGCGCAGATGTCAGGCACGGCGGGAGCTGTTGTGCCGTGGTACAGGACTTGCTCCACAGGGCGCCGTTCACAGTACTGCAGCAGGCGCTCCCGGTGCAGCTCATACTGCTGCTGCAGCAGTAGGTGCGAAACACGCTCCACCTGCCCAGGGGAATGCGGTCAGGAACAGGCAATTCAGAGGCCATCCCTGTGCCCCGGGGCTGACCCAGAGCAGAGATGAGCCCTGCAATCTGAAGCCCTCCTCTGATGAAGTTGAGGGTTTGGAGGAGACCTGGCAGCTCCCATCATGCTCTGCCCAGCAGGTCCATGGGGCAAGTGACATAGAAGGATTCCAGGGAGGCCTGAGTCCCTTCAGAGATGTCTGAGCCCTCCATGGAGGCCTACAGATGGGAAGACTCCCCCAACCCACCCCAAGCCAGGCCTCTGCAGAAAAAAACTGGGCTAGGTGCCTACAGTGCCCACAGGACTCTACAGTGTTGGAAGGCTCAGAGAGGAGAGAAGACCTCAGGTGATCAACCAGACAATCAGCCCTGGGAAAAACTTTTAAGGAAATTCTAGTTTCTTCAGAGCGATGCAAAAGAATATGATATCGATTAAATAAGACTAGCTGCTATGAAAAAAGAAAAAGTCTGAAAATAAGAGAGTTCTTACAGGAAGAATGGGACTGCTAAGTGAGCCAAATAATAAAATGGTTAAAGCTAAAGATCCAGCTATCGGTTCTAGATGGAGTTAAGGAACTGAGGCTGAGTGCAAAGCTAAAGAGAGAAGGGAACCCTGGGAGAGCAGGTGAGGGAGCATGAGGTCTTTGCTCATAGCAAGAGTTCCATAGGATGCCAGAGCATGGGAACACACAAGGGAAGGCAGTTTCCCTAAGCTGGAGGCAGATCTTCAGATGGAGAGGATCCATAAAATGTCAAGAAGGACAATGGGAAAAGACACACCCCTGGCACTTACCTACCTGCCAGGAAACCTCAACCTTCAAGGTGGAAGAAAACCCTACAAGAGTGTGTGTATGTGTGTGCGCACACACACACACACACACACACATATACACATGATCAATATACAAATGGGGGGGGGGAATCTCATATTCTTACACTAGGTTTCTCACTACCAATACCAGATGCTAAGAAACCAGGGAGGAATTTTTTTAACTTTCCAAGAAAAAAAATTTTAAGAAGGAAAAAAAGAGCAGCTTTCAAATATCTGAGGGAAAACATATTTTGAACCTGAACACTATATCCAGTCAAACCATTACTGAAGAGTGGGTGAGGACAAATAAGGACTTTTTAGCACATGTAACAACAATGGAAAGTTAACACCAATATCAAATTATAGTTGCAAAATACCTCTAATTGTAAAAGGCAATATAAACTTAAAAGTCAAAGATGTTTACTACCCGCTCAAGGTGATACTCCCACTAAACAGAAGAATCATGAAAGAAGGTGACAGGGCACAAAGAGTAACCCAACAGTCTAGCAGGGTACAGAAAAATCAAATAAGTCAAAAAAAGAGAAGCTATTAGACCTTGAATCCTAGAACATTCTCTTTCATGCAACGCACTTTTAATAACTATGACTACGGCCGGGTGTGGTGGCTCACACCTGTAATCCTAGCACTCTGGGAGGCCAAGGCAGGTGGATTACTCAAGGTTAGGAGTTTGAAACCAGCCTGTGCGAGACCCTGTCTCTACTAAAAATAGAAAGAAATTAATTGACGAACTAAAAATATATATACAAAAAATTAGCCGGGCATGGTGGCACATGCCTGTAGTCCCAGCTACTTGCTGAAGCAGGAGGATCGCTTGAGCCCAGGAGTTTGAGGTTGCTGTGAGCTAGGCTGATGCCACAGCACTCACTCTAGCCTGGGCAACAAAGTGAGACTCTGTCTCAAAAATAAATAAATAAATAAATAAATAGGACTTCATTTCCTTCTCTATAGTTCAACGGTAGATATTTTTTTTTTTTTTTGAGACAGAGTCTCGCTTGTTGCCCAGGCTATAGTGAGTGCCGTGGCGTCAGCCTAGCTCACAGCAACCTCAAAAACTCCTGGGCTCAAGTAATCCTTCTGCCTCAGCCTCCCAAGTAGCTGGGACTACAGGCATGTGCCACCATGCCCGGCTAATTTTTATATATATATATATTAGTTGGCCAATTAATTTCTTTCTATTTATAGTAGAGACGGGGTCTCGCTCTTGCTCAGGCTGGTTTCAAACTCCTGACCTCGAGCAATCCGCCCGCCTCGGCCTCCCAGAGTGCTAGGATTACAGGCGTGAGCCACTGCGCCAGGCAAATGGTAGATATTTTTTCATTGTCACAGTATGTCCATCAACCTATGGCCCAAGCACGGAGGCTTCATGATAGTTACAGAATACAATGTGAAATTTGTCTGTAAACTTTGACTACATAATAAAAAGAGTTTCAATTAACTGGGCACAGTGGCTCATGCCTATAATTCTATCACTTTGTGAGGCCAAGGTGGGAGGATTGCTTGAAGCCAGAAGTTTGAGACCACCCTGAGTCAGAGCAAGACCTCATCTCTACCAAAAACCAGAAAACTTAGCTGGGCATGGTGGTGTGCACCTATAGTCCCAGCTACTCAGGAGGTTGAGGCAGAAGGATCACTTGAGCCCAGGAGCTTGGGGTTGCAGTAAGCTATGATCACACCACTGCACTCTACCTAGCAAGAGAGTGAGACCTTGTCTCTAAATAAATAAATAATATAATATAAATGACCAAACCATGAGATGGAAGAGGAAGGAGTAAGCAAGACAGAAGGAAGGGAGGCCCATTCTCATCTTCCTGCATGAAGGCAAGAAGCAGTCTCTAAAGTTGATTAGTGGGGAAAAAAAGATTCAAGTGTTACCATCTAAAGTCATAAAGGTGGTCACTAGAAGAACCAAGTGCATGTAATTAACAAAACCAGCAGGATATGAGCACAGTGCATCTGGGTGGTGATGGTGAATTTGATGGTGATGGTGGTGAGTGATGATGGTGATGGGAGGTAATGGTGATGGTGATGATGGTGATTGGTAAAGGTGGTGGTGAGTGGTGAAGGTGATGATATGATGGTGGTGGTGAGTGGTAATGGTGATTGCTAAAGGTGGTGGTGAATGGTGAAGGTGATGATGGTGAGAGTGATGATGGTGATGGTGGTGGGTGGCAGTGATGGTGAAGGTGATGGTGGTGATGGTGGTGGGTGGCAGTGATAGTGATGGTTGGCAGTGGTGAAGGTGATGTTGGTGGTGGTGAAGGTGGTGATGGTGATGGTGGTAATAGTGGTAGCAGTGTGTGGTTGTGGCAAAGGTGATAATGGTGGTGATGGTGGTGGTGGTAGTGATGGTGATGGTTGTAGTGGTGATGGTGATGGTGGTGGTATTGATGGTGATGGTGGTGGGTGGTGGTAGGTGACTGGGCCAGGTCTGGGGAAGACCAGCGGTTCTTTCTGATTTCTGACCAGCTCCAGGTAGAGGCTGATGCTGCTGGCCCCACCCACAACTTTGAGCATCAAGAGTTGTGAGTGCCCAACCCAGTCTCACCAGCACGGTAACCCCAGATCTCCACCGTCACTTCCTTCTCACTTGGCTGTGCCCAGCCATCTCTGTGGATTCCTTCACTTCAGCAATGAACACACTGAGTCTTCCCAGGTGGAAAACCTCTGTCTTCAACCCTGCACTCTCCTCTGATTACTCTCCCATCACTCTGTCCTTCTGTAACCAGCTTATTTCCATTGTTGTCTCTGCCCACACCTCCTATTTACTCTCCATTCCTCACCCTACACCAACTAGCCAACAGACCATCTCCCTGCAGACCTTCCTTCAAGCAGTGCCGATGCTGTGGAGCCCACTTCCCTCCTTCATCCCCCTGTTGCCTCCCGTAACCCCATGTGTTCATGCTTCCCTGGCCTCCCCTGTCCCTCCTTCTTAGCCTCTTCCTTCAGCTGCCCAGATAGGCTAGTGGCCCCTGGGGATCCTGAAATTTCTCTCTGGCTCCCCACCAATTATTACCAGCCTTTTCTGAAACACACTCATGCTCAGGGTTGCCAAATTTGGCAAGTAAGAATACAGGATGAGGCTGCTGAGCTGCAGCAAGTCCTGGCTCTTTCCTTGATGAAGTGGCCCCCTTTGAAGGCAGAAGAGTCCCCAGAACAGCACATGGTACACATTTGTGGAATAAGTAATCTCACAATGGCCATGAGATGGCATCACCACCCCATGCTCTAGAGAAGGAAACTGAGGCATGAGGAAGATCACACAGTCCCTGGTCACCTGGCTGTAATTGGTAGAGCAGGGACCCTCACTCTGGCCTGTCAGATTCTAGGGACCCCCCTAACTTCTGCCCTCCTATCTCCCCCACTTGATTTTGTGAACATCCCCTGGGCAGGGAACATGCCTTGGGAAGCCTGGTGCTACCCACCCTCCCTCCCCCACCATCAGCTTTCCAGGCTGCCTGCACTGAGCTGACCTTGATGTAGGCAAGAGTGACAGCCCACAGACTCTGTAAGGTGCTAATGGTGCCAAGAGCCCAGAAGGCCATGAGGCCAGTGAGACAGGGCACAGACTCACCCGGACAATGTGGATCTTGCTACGGACAGCGTCCAAGGTGTTGTAGAAGGCCTGCACCACCTCCTGGAACTCCCTAGTGCTCTCTGCCAGTTGCTCCAGCCTGCTTGAGGGTTCCTTCAGGTCCTGCTCTGACACTGACACATGGGGAGACAGGGGTCAGGGCCATGTCTAGGGGCACTAACTCCTGATAGCTGGCCCATCCCACCCTCCCCCAGTCCAGGATGCAGACTCACAGGTAGGGCCTGAAGCTGCCAAGGGAAAGGCCAAACTCTGATCCCAGGGGCCTGCCAGAAGTGCAGCTAAGTGGCGGGCAGCACGGGTGGGTTGGGTCCCAAAGCCACGGAGAATGGTGCAGTCCCCGCGCAGGGCAATGTTCACACCATGGCACCGCTCGAGGCGAGCACATAGCTCTGCGGGCAGCATGTGGCTCTGAGGACCCACTGTTTCTTCCCAGAGTTGTTCCTCCAAGGCAGCCTCTAGTGCCCGGTCCAGCTCATCTATGTCCTGCTCAAAGGCAGTGTGCACCACCAGCTGGGCCCTACCATCAGTCACCCCACCTGGGTGCTCCTCTACCTCTGACAGGGGCTGCTCCAACAGAGAGAGGGCCAGGGCTCGCTGTAGTGCAGAAGCCTCCTCCTGCTCAGCCACCTGGCTTTGAGGCTCCAATGACCGGTGAAGGGCCAGCTGCAGTGCAGCCTCCTCCTCCAGCCGTCCAGGTGCCCCAGTGCTGGGAGCCACAGGATCCCCCTCCTCATGTCCTGGAGTGGCCTCCTCCTTTGGCTGTTCCTCAAGCTCCTCTTCCCCTAGCTCTAGAGGCAGCCAGTCTTCCCCATCCAGGCCCTCCAGGGTGGCCAGCAGTTCTCGGACCTCCTCTGGGAACAGGGAGAGGCCACTGGGTCAGGGGTTGGACCCAGCCAGGGTATCACTGAAGATAGGTGGAGTCAGAATGGGTGAAAGATAGCTAGCAGGATTAGCAGGTGGGCCTGGGAAGGGTCACTAGACAGGTGGAAATACAGAGCAGGGCCGAGCAGGAGGTCAAGCAAGGGCCTCAGGATGTGCTATGGGTTCCCAGGAAGCCCTACCCAGGCTCATGTTCTCCTGGTCATTGTCTACACTGTCTGGGGGCCACATGGTGTGGGCACCACCAGGGAGGCTCTCGAGGGCCTCAGCAGAGTCCACCTGTAGGGAGAGGATGTCAGGACAACCAGCCTCTGGGCAAGGGTAGAGGCCCTGGGATCTGGGATATAAGAAGGGGCAGGGGCAGGACTCCATCTCTACCTTTTCAGGGTCTGTGTCCAGGGTGGCCCTGGCCAGACGCTCTGTCCCAAAGACACACTGGAACTGAGCCTCCAGCCCCTGAAGAAGGCGCTGCCCCTCTGGGCCCAGGAGAAACCTGGCACTGCCCGGGTGCTTCAGGCTCAGCACATGACAACCAATGCTGCCCAGCAGACTCTGCAGGAACTCTTCAGCTGCCTGGCATGGAGCTGGAGCTCCACAGAGCTGCAGGACCATGGGGAGGGGCAGGTTGCAGGTTTAGGGCACAGGAAAGGTACTCAGAATCCCCAGTAGGAGGAGCGGGTCAAAGGTGAGGCATCCTGAGGGGCCATTTACCCGAAAGCCAGTCACATCTGTTCCTTCAAGTGGGAAGAGGGCGACATCTCCCAGGCCAGCAAGAAGGTCCTCATGATAGAGCTGCAGGAAGCGCATCGCCCCAGGCTCCATTGACAGCACCATCTCCACCTGCTCCAGCAGCCCCACATGCCCTGGGCTCACCAGCCCTGCCTTCTCTGGAGACCCCACGGTGATCTCCACTGGACTCACTAATCCCTCCTGCCCTGGTGAGCCCATGGCAATTTCCACCAGGCCCTCCTGCCCCAGCTCCCCCAGAGAGATCTCCCCCAGGGCAGGAGACCCCATGGACCCCGGGCTCACCAGCTTAGTCTTCTCTGGATACTCCACAGTCCCCAGGCTCATGGGCCCCTCCTGCTCCAGAGACTCCCTGGTCCCTGAGCTGACTGGCCCAGCCTGTCCCAGAGACCCCACTGGACCTGTCCCTGGAGAGGCCTCTGATTGCCCTGGGGTCTCTCTAGAGCCCACTGTCACAGTCTCTGTACCCTTCAGTGCCCTCATCAGCCCTCCAGCCTTCAGGAGAGCATGCTTGGTGACCCCAGGCCCCAGCTTGGACAGGTGGTCCTCTCCACTGGTGTCCTCAGCAAGCTCCTCGGGCTCTAGTATGTCGTAGTGGGGGACAAGGCTCAGCTCTGAACCCTGTAGCAAGTGGTCCCTCTGCAGCACCCGTTCAGCCACTTGAAGGAAGGGAGAAGACAGAAAGCCCATCAGGTTTCTGTGGGAAAGAGGGACTCAGCTGGGTCCATCCTGCCCCACTCACCTTGCCACTGCTGGAAGGAGACAACAGTGCCCAGATGCCTGGGTAGGATGCGCAGGCCCTCCAGGGGCCCCCCACCACTGCGGCGCTCATTCTCTAGGTACAGCTCCAGCAGCAAGAGGTCCACAGCGGGGGCGTCCCCCACGACACGCACTGCTTGGGCCTGGGGCACCTGGGCCAGGGACACCGTGGCCCCCTCCAGGCCAAGATTCTGGGCCTGCTCCTCCAAGATACGGACTTCTGTGGGGAGTGTACAGGTTGGTTTGGGGCATCTCCCCTAACCAGCACCTCAGCCCCATTCCCACCTCTCACCTGCCTCAGAAAGGGGCTCAGACAGCTGGACCAGGGCCCGATCTGGCCGGGGGCTGGCCAGGGCACAGCAGGGCTGCACTGGGAGCCCCGCAGCACATAACAGGGCCTGGACATGCTGCTCCAGAAGGATGGGTGCAGTGCCAGGGGGCAGTCCTTGGAGCAGCAGTCGTGCAGGGGCACGTGGAGGAGCTGGCCGCAGGCTTAGCTGGGCACCATGTAATTCGTGCTCTGCCTGGGCCAAGACCCTCTCAGCATCTGCAGGCAGAGGTAGGGTAGAACACCAGGCATCAGGGCATGAGGACACCCAGGCTGCCCCTTCAGCTGGCCCCCTCTCACCTGCAGGCTCTCGAAAGGTGAGGATGCCCCCAGAGCCAAATCTCCGCCAGCTCAAGACAGGCCCCCCACCAGACCGTCGGCGGTTCTCGAAGTAGAGAGTGAGCAGCTCATCGGACACATCAGGGGACAGTCCACAGACCTCCACTGCTGCCCCTGCCTCCACCTCTGCCATGGCAACCCTGGGAGAGGGCATCAGCTGGGTAGAGAAGTGCCTACTTCACCCCTTCTTCTCCTCCCTAGGCCTTTCTGCAGTGTTCCCCAGTGGCCCCTGATTGTGGGTGGCCCCACAGCCAGCACTTACACCCCAGCCCCCCTCTGCTGAGCAGCCTCAGCCCACACCCTCAACCAGGACTCCTTCGCTTACCCCTCTCAAGCAGGGATCCACAGGCAGAAGGCCCTGACAGGAAAACAAAAGTGAAACTGAAAGAGGAAGGGAGAGTGAGAGGGAGGGAGGGGCTGAACCAGGCCCTCAGCGCTGGGGCCTGATTACTGGGGCTCAGGTGCTTCCTCTCTGCTGAAGCCTCAACCGCCAGCTCTGACCAGGAAGTATTGGCTGGGCTGGATCCCTCAGGACCCTCCTGCCAGCCCACCCCACTGGCTTTATCTGGCCCACTCCAGCTCCTGGCTGGTAGGGTGGACAGGAGTGTCCGTTGGTGGTCCTCCACTCCCCTGGCCTCTTCCTGTGGCCCTGATATGGTCAATCACCCTCCCCATTAAATCCACTAAGGGCCCTGAGTCACTGCCCCCAACTCAGGGTCTCTAAGTCTCTGTGAAACCCTCATTCAACAGGAACAGCGTTGGGTCTCCAGCCCTGCTGCTGCCTGAGGCTGGCTTGCAGCTGCCCCCAGCAACCTTCCCAAACCATGCTTCTGGGCCCCCACACCTCCCAGGTGACTAGGCTTCCCAGTCATGAAAATACTTTGTGACCTACAAGAGTTTGCACCTCAGCACAGACTTCCTCCTGCCTCCTTGGTCCCCTACTGGGGCCCATCCCTGTGGCTGTCTCTCCAGCCTGCACACCCACTTAACCTTCCCATCTCATGTTATCATCATCATTGCTGTCATCATGTATGATCCCACAGGTGATGGGCACTGTGCTGGCATGCCTTGCTGCTGCTAATCCTTACCACAGAAGGGGAAATGGAGGTGCAGACAGGGCCACAGTAGTGCCAGGGCTCACACCCAGGCTGTGCCTTTAGAATCCACACTCCCACTCCCACCAACTCCCCCAACATCACCCAAGCTCTGTTTGCTTCCAGCCTCTCAGAGTGGAACCCAGCTCTGCCCCCCCCCACTTCCCATTCACCCCTCAGCCCATGGAAACCTATTCCTACCCCTGCTGTTCCTTTCTCCAAGGGGCCAAGGACCCTGGCCAGCCCGCACCCCCAGCCCTTCACACCTAGCACCTCTGCTGCCCCCACCCTAGTCCACGCCTCCAGCATCTCTCACTGAGCAGCTATGCTACCCTCTTAGCTGATCTCCCTTTGCCACTTCTGCCCGCCCCCACAGTGGGTCTTCAACAGAGATGACAGGGTGGGCCTTTAAAGTGGTGATACCAATGGCCACTACAGCTCCCAGTGTCAGTAACAGTAAAAGCCAAAATCCCTTTGAGGGCCTGTCCAGCTCTGCCTGACAAGGTCCCAGTCCTCTCTCTGGCTCCACACCTGCCTCCACACCCTGATGCTCGGGGAGGCTCCAGCCTCTCAGCTCATCCTCCAGAACTACAGGCCACTCCTGCCTCAGTGCCCTTGCAGTGGCCTATCCCTCTGCTTGGCCTGGCTTTCCCCACAGAGCCTTATGGCGATCCTCCCCTGTGACCTCCCTTACCCTGCTCTCAGGAGCAAATTTAACACAAACCTAAAGACCCTTAAGGACCTCTGACTTGCATAAGCCTCTGCCAAAGCCTTGTTCTCAATTTTGTATTTATCATTTTTCTTGAAGTCCTCAAATTGTTTGAGCTTCTGGTTCTACAAAACCTGAATCTATCCCTGCCTGCTCTACTTCTTCCCTTCTCATAGAACTCATCACCTTCTAACACTGTCTATCACTTATTGTGCCTATCACGGCTGAGAAGGTTCTGCTACAGGCAGCGGTGCACTGGAGCAGCTCACACCACAACCAGATTGTTACATTTACAGGAATTTCCATTAACTGGTTGTTAAACTGGTGGTAGCTTGCAACCAGTTGTGATGGGAGTATTTACATGATGGGCCTGTGCAAAAGATCAGGGCTTCCCCTTACTAGATCCAGTTGGTAAATACTGAACTCATACTGTGGGGCACAGGGCAAAGCCTTTCCCCAACCACTGCCCGGTCTGGGAGAGGCCAGCCGTCCAAGGGCCAAGAGAGCAGAAGTAAGGCCCCACGGCCCCAGGTGGAGAGGCCCTGCTGCAGGCGATGCTCTGCCTAAACAGCACTTCCTCAGGAGGACTTCCAAGGCCAGGGGGCAGTTCGCCTGGCGTCCAGTGTTACTGCATCTCTAAGCCTCAGCCGCTCACAGCTTATGAGGAGGTGCTGAAGGGCAAGCAAGGGTAAAGGGTCTCTAGGATGGAGCCTGGCAAAGGCTGGGATGGTAGAGAGAATGGGACAATTAGGCGATTAGACCTCTTCATTTGCCATAGACTTGGATGCAAAGGGAAAGTGAACGCTGTGCTTTAAAGCCAAGAAAGGACTTAGAATCCTTGGCAGGTTCAGCAAATCCTGGATTTAGGAATAAATTTCTTAACTCCCTGAACGAACCGCCAAATTGGCCAAACCAGGCCTCTGCCTCCAGGGGTCTTCAGGTACTATCGCCCGACCCTCCAACCCGTCTTCGGCAGACACTGCGAGCGCGCGGCGCTGGCCCTGGGCCTGGGACCAGGAGAAGAGACAGCAGGACAGCCGCGGGCGGGGCCTAGCGAGTCTGTTCCGCGCGGAAGAATTCCCGCAGTCCCGGCAGACCCCGCCCCGGCCCCGCCCCGCCTGGCCCCGGCCCCGCCCCGTCACAAGGCCCCTCTGCGTCTCCCAAGCCGCAGGCGCAGGCCCTGCCTAGCCGGCCGCCGAGCGGGTGCTGGCGCACCGGCCATCACCGCGCGGCGCGCAGCGGACACCGTGCGCACCGGCCTGCGGCGCCCCGCGAGCGGTGAGTCCCCGGCTCGAGCCCAGGAGAGCGCATGACCCGCTGCTGCCCCTCTACCGGCCGCCCCCGCGCTGACCCTTCGCAGCCGAGCGGGGCTGCCTTTGGTCGGCCAGGCTGTCCAGCCAAGGCGCGCGGCCCGCTCGGGGCCAGGGTGACAGCGGCAGTGGGGGCGGGGAGCCTCGGCGGCCTGGAGCCAGGGTGTGGGGGGGCGCGCTGCGGCGAGGTCAGGACTCGCGGCCCCAAGAGCCCCCGACCCGACAGTTGGGCCCACCCACCCTGGGTGCGGGTTCAGCGGCCTCCGCTCCCACCGCCTCGCCCGCACACCTGCTTCGTTCCTCCCGCACGCCCTCTGGTCGCTTCCATCCCCCACACACCCCCGCACGCCGCTGTTCCCGGCGTACCGTACTGGCAAGCACCCGGTAGCCGATCCAGGCCTGATCCCCCCAATCCCAGGAAAGAGGGACGGTTGGGCCCTGCTCTTGGGATTGGGGGGGGGGCAGGGCTCTCGTTGGTCACAGATGGCTTGGGGATTTCCAGGGATAGAAATAGCCGCGGGCTCTGGCCCCTTAAAGCTGCTTAAGGGGCGGGTTGTGAAGGGGAGGGTCCGGGCACGCCTTCACACATCCACAGACGCGCCCCCAGCCCCCACCGGGCTGAGCACTAGCTTGGGAGACGCTGACAGCAGTGAGAAGGGCCCCCCAGTTGCTAGTAAGAAACAACTAAAGCCCCAGGTCCTGAGGCCGATATTCATCCCCTCATCCGTCCCCTCCCCCCACCATTAGGGTTCTCGTAGAGAAGCCCCTTCTGAAGGCCCATGCCGGTCTAGGTCCCCACCCTCTTCTCCTGGCCCCATTGCTCTCCAGGGCTCCCTACAGCCAGGGGCAAAGGTCATGGCTTCCCTTTCCTTCCCTCTGGGTTCCTGGCAGCAGGTGGGGTTGCCACAGGCTGGTTCCCACAGTCATGCAGGGCTAATTGTTCTCTCTGTCTCCTCTAGGGGCAGACCACGGAACCGGAGGCCATGTCCCATGAAAAGAGTTTCTTGGTGTCTGGGGACAACTATCCTCCCCCCAACCCTGGATATCCTGGCGGGCCCCAGCCACCCATGCCTCCCTATGCTCAGCCTCCTTACCCGGGGGTCCCCTACCCACAGCCCCCTTTCCAGCCCTCCCCCTATGGTCAGCCAGGGTATCCTCATGGCCCCAGCTCCTACCCCCAAGGGGGCTACCCTCAGGGCCCCTACTCCCAAGGGGGCTACCCTCAGGGCCCCTACCCCCAAGGGGGCTACCCTCAGGGGCCATACCCCCAAGACGGCTACCCACAGGGGCCATACCCTCAGAGCCCCTTCCCCCCTAACCCCTATGGACAACCACAGGCCTTCCAGGCACAGGACCCTGGCTGTGAGTGGGGCAAGGGCGGGGCAGAGGCAGGGGCAGGGCAAGGGAAGGGGCAGGGCAGGGTCACGGGCATGGGCACAGTGACCAGGAGTGCACTAACACAGCCCATCTGTCCCCCAGCACCACAGCATGGGAACTACCAGGAGGAGGGGCCCCCATCCTACTATGACAACCAGGATTTTCCTGCCACCAACTGGGATGACAAGAGCATCCGACAGGCCTTCATCCGAAAGGTGGGGCCAGGATGTCTGTGGGGTGGGAGGCCAGCGCCTGGCGGGCTCTGAGTCCCTTCCTTTCCAGGTGTTCCTGGTGCTGACCCTGCAGCTGTCAGTGACCCTGTCTACGGTCTCTGTGTTCACTTTTGTCCGGGAGGTGAAGACTTTTGTCCGGGAGAACGTCTGGACCTACTATGTCTCCTACGCCATCTTCTTTATCTCCCTCATCGTCCTCAGCTGTTGCGGGGACTTCCGTCGGAAGCACCCCTGGAACCTTGTTGCACTGGTAACTCCCAAACCTGGGCCTCTGGTCCCCTGGGCCCAGTGTTTCAGTCCCACATGCCCACTCTGGGGAGCCTGGTCACCCTGGTTCCCCTTCTGCCCACGAAGCAGGGGAGGGGAGGGGACCTTGGGGAGTTGGGGAGCAGCTTGCACATCCAAGGCTGGTGCGCCCCCATCCCCATCCCATCTCCCCACAGTCAATCCTGACCGTCAGCTTGTCCTACATGGTGGGCATGATCGCCAGCTTCTACAACACTGAGGCGGTCATCATGGCTGTGGGCATCACCACAGCTGTTTGCTTCACAGTGGTCATCTTCTCCATGCAGGTGAGGGGCCCCCTATAGCAGGGCTGTGGCCCTGGGACCCAAAGGCCTTCCCAGGGGGCCCAGCACCCATGGCCCCTGTTACTCTCCCACCCTCTCAGACTCGCTACGACTTCACCTCGTGCATGGGTGTGCTCCTGGTGAGCATGGTGGTGCTCTTCATCTTTGCCATCCTCTGCATCTTCATCCGGAACCGCATCCTGGAGATCGTGTACGCCTCTCTGGGTGCTCTGCTCTTCACCTGTGTAAGTGAGGGCGGAGGGAGGCCCTGATGAGGAGGGGCTGGGACTCCAGGTGGGCAGGCTTGTCCCTTTGACACTACTGTGCCATCACCCCTAGTTCCTGGCAGTGGACACCCAGCTACTATTGGGGAACAAGCAGCTGTCCCTGAGCCCGGAGGAGTACGTGTTTGCTGCACTGAACCTATACACAGACATCATCAACATCTTCCTGTACATCCTCACCATCATTGGCCGCGCCAAGGAGTAGCCCAAGCCCCCAGCTTGCTGTGCCCCATCAAGTGGCATGGCTGGCCTGGACCCTGCCCCTGGCATGGCAGTGCCATCCATACTTCCCCTTTCTTTTGTCCTGGGCACAGCCTGGGGCAGAGAAAGCCCCTCTCCAACCCTCCTGTATGTACACTGCAGATACTTCTCTGTTTGGACCTGCTGTGGCCCAGCATGGCCCTTTTAGTCCTCCCACCCCCACCAAGGGTCAACAAGGCCACATTTCCAGGCCACTTCCTATTCACTCATTGTTGCATGAGCCCTGTCTACCAGCCCACCCCAGGGTCTGGGGACAACACCAGGTCCCAGGGGAGAGGGATTGAGCCAAGAGGTGAGGGTGCACGTCTTCCCTCCTGTCCCAGCTCCCCAGCCTGGCATAGAATACCCCTTCCCCTCCCCACTGCACCCTGGAGTGCTGCCCTCTGGGGGACATTCGTGTGGGGGGGTCTCATCCCTCTGCTGAACCCTGAGGGCAGAGAGGATGGCATGTTTCAGGGGAGGTGGAAGCCTTCCTCTCACTCTGCTGTCATTAAAATGCCAATAAATGGGATCTGCTCTCTGCCTTCCCCAATCACTCTTCTCACTGCCTCGCTGAGGTAGTGAGGGGGCTCTGGGCACCCCTGGCTGATGGGGGCACAGGACCAGGCATTAATGTGAAAGGTTAATGACAATAGCTGATTCTTCGTTCACCCTGTACATCCTTCCTTGCCATCTTCCCCACTGTGTTATGAGGTATGTCCTGGGATTCCCAGCTGATGGAGAGATCTGAGGATCCATCAAAGTTAGTTACACCTGTACCCGGGTCATGGTAAGTGACCTGGCTATATCTACTACTCGATCCTTTTGAAAGTGGCACAGTGTGGCAGTGGGCCCCATAAGCCCCTTACCATCTGTTGCCCCAGGCAAAGGCCAGTGGCACATGTCATTGACCCACTCCAGGGCAGCCCGTCCTGCTGCTTGGGCTCTGCTAGGCTCTCCCTAGGGCTTCCCAGTCACTGTGGAATCCATCTGAGTGGGCACCCTGAAATGCTGCCCAGGTCCGCCTCAGACAAAGACCCTTCACACCTCTCTGTCCTTATCACCGGAAACCTGCAGACCAGAGCCCCAGTCAGTGAGCTGGACAAAGGCTCTGAGAGCTCAGCTAGTCAGGCCCTGTCCTATGCTAAGTCCATGGCACAGCCTGTCCATTTCCTCCACTGTGGGTCTTGCTGCTAAGCAAGATCCCTCTGCTGCCTAGGGTTCCGTCTGAGCCCTCCTGAGCTCCTAACTCCAGTGCCTCTGGAGCCAGGGATGGCCTTAGCCTTAGACATTCCCCACTGTAGCCTTCCTCTCCAGGACTCTCCAGCTTGGCATGAGAACCTCTTTTGCTCCTCCACCTCCTCCCCACCAACCTGTCAATCCGCTTGTTTAACTGGCACCGGCACCTCAATGTTTGTAAAGGGACCCATACACCACAAGCCATGTCCACAGGCATCTGAGGCCTGTCCAAAGCCAAGCTCCTGCTCCCTGAGATCTGCTGCTTCTGCATTATCTTCCCAGGCCAGAGCAAGGCCAGCCTCCCTCCCCTGTCCCTATCACCTTCCTCTGCCTCAGGCCACCTCCCACTGACCCTGTAGGCTCATCAACCCTCCATCAGGCAGAAATGGTGATCACACTGCTTGCCTGCTTACAACCCTCTAATGGGTGCCCTCAGGATGAAGTCCACACTCCTTAGCCTGGCACACGGGGCTAAGCTTAGTCACATGCTGGGAATGGGGCAGGCAACACAGTTCCACACCCCCCCGCCCCTGCTTTCTGGCAGTTTTCTTGAGCAGGTACAGTTCCTTCTCCAGGGTGACTGCAAGTGCTCTAAGCATTCTGATTAGGGGAAGCTACTTGCCTAGTGCTAGCTCCTAGACACATCAGGATTTTACACTATAGAGGAAAACACAGAATTTTTACATGGTTAGAACATCTTTAGAAGTGAAAGGAGGAGCTCAGGAATAACTGCTAAGCAAAATGTGCAAGGACAGTGTTTTCTTGAGGAGTTCAAGGACACACGTCTTGGTTAAGAGGGAGAGGCTTGGGGGAGGCTCCCTGGGGAT